GCAACATGATTTGACACACAAATGCTGAGGAAAGTCAAAACAGGAAAAACTGTCAAAAAACAAACAATCCATCAAAAACCTGTCCTGGAAGATGCCTAACGATTGGGGTCAATTCCTGGACCCAGGATATGGAGATACCCCACCTCCCGCAAGGTGTGTTCTGACCATCACATGTGTAACATCCATCACTCACGTTCACCCACACATATAATAATTTTCTTTTTCCTTTTTTTTTTTTTTTAGGCAGGGCTTCTCTGTGTAGCCTTGGCTATCCTGGAACTCGCTCTGTAGACCAGGATGGCCTCGAACTCACAGAGATCTGTCTGCCTCTGCCTCCCGAGTGCTGGGATTAAAGGCGTGCACCACTACCGCCCGGCAGAGATACCTTGTTTTGAAAAAAAAAGTCCTATTAAGCATGGTAGATCTTTTCTGTAATTCTAAAATTTGTGAGGCAAAGACTATAAACTAATTAAACAAATAGAAACAACAGCTCTATCATCTATATTTCATGTATTTATTATTATTGTGTGTATGTGTGTGCATGATGTACATGTGTGGGAGGACAGCTTTGTGGAGTCTATCCTGGGCAACTTAATGAGACCCTAACTCAAAACTAAGAGGTCTATGTATTTAGTTCAGTAGTAGCATACTTGCCTTGGCAGATGTCAGACCCTAGGTGCAATCCCTAGCACTGACAAAAAAGACAAACATACATTTTCTCTCATATACAGAATCTATATTTAAATTTATATGTATACACATAAGGAAAGGGAAAGCATGGATTCTAAGGGGAGGAGGAAGGAGGTAATGTGTAAAACTCAGGTTTGCATTTTTTCTCGTAGACTCTAGATTCAACAGCATTTATACATCTATGGACATGTATATGACATGGAAACAAAGAAGGATTCTTTGAGTATCACCAGATTGGGGGAGAAATAGGTGGGCAAGTGTATTATGAGCAAGGTATTTGATTATGCTAACTAAACAAAAGGAAAAGTCCAAAACAGGCTTAAGAACTTCCAAACCTGGTCTACTGAGCGAGTTCCAGGACAGGCTCCAAAACAATACAGAGAAACCCTGTCTCAAAAAAACCAAAAAAAAAAAAAAAAAAGAAGGGAAGGTTCCTGAATGGTGGCCCAGATGGACAGGGCAAGGGTGCCCCAACCCAATACTCCTATTCGTCACCCCAAACATTTCTTCATGTGTATCCTTTGTAGTAACACCTTTAATAATAACCTGTAAAAGTATTTGCTGATTCTGTGGGCCAGCAAATTCACTGGATCCAAGGAGGGGTTGTGGGAACCTGATTGATAACTGGTTGGTCAGAAACATTGCCAAACAACCTGGGACTTTGCTTTGGCGCCTGAAGTGAGAAACAGGCAAACTATGGGGACTAGACCACAACCTATAGGATCTGCACCCTAGGCAGCAGATGCAAAACAATGGCCTTAAAGGACTTCCCGTTAGTATTAGCAATAATTAGTCTTTAGGTGTGCGGGTATGCATGTGCTTGGGTATTCATGTACTTTCATCATGGAGTGGGTATGGAGGCAAGAGTCAATGCTAAAGATTTTCCTCAGTCAGTTTCCACTTGATGGGGAGAGGGGGTGACATTGCATTTATTTGTTGGGAGCAGGCATATCATTGGGCAACTATCAGGATCCTGGAAATCTAACTAAGGCCCTTAGATTGAGTCTCATCAACATCTCCACCTTTATTGTTGTTGTTACTTTGGGGTTTTTTTTAGTTTGTTTGTTTTTTGAGGCAGATCTTTTCTGTGTAGCCCTGGTTGTCTTGGAACTGTAGACAGACAAGGCTGACCTTGAACTCACAAAGATAAGCAAGTGCTGGTATTAAAGACGTGTGCCATCCCTCCCTATTGGGCCTGTTGTTGTTTTTATGTAACAGAACTCTGCTGTATCTCAGGCCGGGTGTTGGTGGCGCATGCCTTTAATTCCAGCACTCGGGAGGCAGAGGCAGGCGGATCTCTGTGAGTTCGAGGCCAGCCTGGTCTACAAATCAAGTTCCAGGACAGCCTCCAAAGCCACAGAGAAACCCTGTCTGGAAAAAAACAGTAACAACAACAAAAAAGACAAGAGTTGCATCTGCAGCTCAGGCTCACATAGAACTTGCTGTGGAAGCCAGGCTTGAGGTTGGTTGTGGGATTTCTGTTGCTTAGGTTTTTTTTAAAGATGTATTTATTTATTATGTATACAGTATTCTGTCTGCATGTATGCCTGCTCACCAGAAAAGGGTGCCAGATATCATTAAAGATAATTATGAACCACCATGTGGTTGCTGGGAATTGAACTCAGGTCTTCAGGAAGAACAGTCAGTGCTCTTCACATCTGAGCCATGTCTCCCACTTAAATTATTTTTAATCTATGCATTTAACTTTATGCATATTTTGCCAGAATATAAGTATGTGTACCATGTGTGTGCCTGGTGCCCGGGAAATGAAAAATAAATGTTGGATCCCCAGGAATTGAAGCTAAATATGGTTGTAAACCACCACGTGGGTCCTGGGAACCAAAACCTGATTCTCCAGAAAGCATACACTGCTTTTAGTTGTTGAGCCATTTTCTAGTCATTGTTCTTATCTTATTTGGGGACTGGAAATCAAACCCAGGTCTTCCCAAAAACTAGGCAGGTAGGTGTTCTACCTAGCCCAGCTAAATTTTTTTTCTGAAACCCATGGCCTTGTACATTTTCAGCAAGCAGTCCAGCATTGAGTTACAGCTACAGTCATTTAAACACCTTTTGTTTGTTTGTTTTTTGAGACAGGGTTTCTTTTATGTAGCCCTGGCTGTCCTAGAAGTTGCTCTTTAGACCAGGCTGGCCTCCAACTCAGGGATCTATATTTGGACTTTCTTTGGACTGCCAGCTCCTGAATAATAACACAGAGACTTTATTCATTATGAAAGCTTGGCATTAGCTTAGGCTTGTTCCCGACTAGCTCTTTTTAGGGGGTGGGGGTGAGACAGGGTTTCTCTGTGCAACAGCCCTGGCTGTCCTGGCACTCGCTCTGTAGACCAGGCTGGCCTCGAACTCACAGAGATCCACCTGCCTCTGCCTCCCTGGTGCTAGGATTAAGAGTGTGTGCCACCACTGCTCGGCCTCAACTAACTCTTAAAATTTAAATTAACTCATTTTTATTAATCTTCATTCTGCCATGTGGGGCTTTACCTCTCAATACTTTAGGTCTGACTTCCTCTGAGTCTAGCTGGCAAAGTGCCTCACATTCTTCCCAGAGTTCCTATCTCTGCCTGGAAGTCCTACCTATCCTCTCCTGCCTACCTATTGGCCATTCAGCTCTCTATTAAATCAATAAATAGGTGCCTTAGGCAGATGGGATTTAAAAAAAATTTTTCACACTGTGTGACCAAATATCCCACAACAGGGATCCACCTGCTTCTGCCTCCTGAGTGCTGGGATTAAAAGACTGTGGCATCATATCTTTTATTTATTTATTTACATTTTTGGAGACAGAGTTTCTCTTTGTAACCTTAAAATCTTTTTTTTTTTTTTTGAGACAGGATCTTCCCAAATCTTGTAGAATTCTCAAATCTTCTGCCTCAGCCTTCAGAATATCTGTGATTACACATCTGCACTACCAGATGAGTTTTTTTTGTTTTTTGTTTTTTTTGTTTTGTTTTGTTTTGTTTTTCAAGACAGGGTTTCTCTGTATTGTTTTGGAGCCTGTCCTGGAACTCTCTCAGTACACCAGGCTTGGTCTTGAACTCACAGAGATCCACCTGCCTCTGCATTAGTGCTGGGATTAAAGGCGTGCACCACCACCACCCGGCCAGATGGGCTATTTTTTAATTTATTATTTATTATGTGTATTGGTGTTTTGCTTGTATGTCTGTGTACCATATACATTCAGTGCCCATGCACTACTACAGTGAACCATGGCATCCTTGTGCTCCCACTCACAAATAAATAAATGATACAAAAAAATAAAAATATAGAGCAAGTTCCAGGACAGCAGGGCCATACAGCTAGGTAGTGCACACCTTTAATCCCAGTGCTTGGGAGGCAGAGGCAAGCTGATCTCTGAGAGTTTGAGACCAGCCTGGTCTACAAATCAAGTTCCAGGACAGCCTCCAAAGCCACAGAGAAACACTGTCTTGAAAAGCCAGAAGTAAATAAATAAATAAGGAAATGATATGCATGAGCCCTGTGTTCCAAGCCTAACATTTCCATAAAATGGGCATGCATTTACCTGATTATCTCAGCACTCTAGTCGTACAGGAGATCAGAAGTCCAAGGTCATTCTTGGTTACACAAGGAGTTGGAGGTCAGCCTGGGCTAGAGACTATCCCGAAACAACAAAACAAAAAAATAATTGGGGTGGTGATGCACACTTGTAATCCCAGGGCTCTCTAGGCAGAGGCAGTGAATCTCTGTAAATTCTAGGCCAGTGTGATGGTCTGCACAGTGAGTACCAGTCCAGCCAGAACTACATATTGTGGACCCCATCTAGAAATGAGAAAGGCCGGCGATGGTGGTGGCACACACCTTAAATCCAGTGCCTGGGAGGCAGAGTCCTGTGGATCTCTAGTTCCAGGCCAGCCTGGTTAACAAAGTGAGTTCCAGGACAGCCAGAGCTGCACACAGATAAACCATGTCTGGAAAAAACAAAATCAAACATACAAGTAAACAACTCACTTTGTAGACCAAGCTAGCCTCGAACTCACAGAGATCCACCTGCTTCTGCCTCCCCGAGTGCTGGGATCAAAGGTGTGAGCTACCACTGCCCAGCTTAATTTTGTTTTTTTATGAGGCAGGTCTCATATTTCCAAATGGGCCCTGAACCCTGAGCTATAGGGATTTTCCTACTTCAACCTCCCCAGTACCATGCCATCATACCTACCTAGCTGAAGTTGGTTAGTTAAGGGCTGGGTAATTGCCTATTCCCAGTGTCCCTTGAAATGCTGACAACAGGCAGTGGGTCTGTGGCACATCAATCCTAAAAGACTTTCGGGTTCCAAAGATGATTGACAAGATTGCTATACCATTGTTCCTTTTAATTTTTTTTGAAATTCATTTTTATTTTAGGTGCATTGATGTTTGGTCTACATGTATGTCTGTGGGTGCTAGATTCCCTGGAACTGGAGTTAGACAGTTGTGAGCTGCCATGTGGGTGCTGGGAACTATCCTGGGTCCTCTGAAGACCAAGTAGCCAGTGCTTTTAACCACTCAGACATCTCTCCAATCCCTTGTTCTCTTTTTAAAATCATACACTAGACTAGGATCCCCTAAATCCTTGGGGGGCCTATCAGCATCACTGGCTCAGCCTCCATTAGAGCTATAGTCTCCAACGAAGGGTTCTAAGTGACTGCACCCTGTCCTTCCATCAATTCCTCTACCTAATGGCACATGAGGACAAACTTTTTCCTCCCCTGCTTCTGCTCTTTCTGCACCTTGGGAGGCCTTTGGGTTAGTCTGTCTGGGTCAGAGTCTGTGACTATCATCTTAGGAAAACTTGATATGGTGATCCCAAAAGGTGGCAGTAGAGAAAACTCTCCAGGAGATGTCATCACCATCCTGCCAACTCCCTCATTGCCGCTTCTTCAAATCGAAAGGAATGCCAGCCTTCCAATTCAGTCAGATCTTGCGCTCCCAGAGACTTGTACAAGTCCATGGCCTTCTTGTTCCAGTCCAGAACTGCCAGGCGGAACTGGGAGCACCCCTTACACAGGGCAACCTGTAGGAGAAGACACTTCTTACTGCCCTGCACTCAGAGAAGCTGGATGATGCGCACCTTTAGTCCTGGCAGTGGGGAGGCAGAGGCAGACAGATCTATGAATTTGAGGTCAGCCTGGTTTACAGAGCAAGTTCCAGGACAGCAGGGCCACACAGAGAAACCCTGTCTCGAAAAGCCAAAAGGAAAAAAGAAGACTCTTTCTCATCTCCTCATTCAGCCCCAGCACCCCCATACATTCTTGGGGAGGGCGTTGTTTGTTTGACTAATTGGTAGGTTTTTGGTCTTGGGGTTTTTTAGGGGGAACCTCGTTTTTAACCCCCACTCCTTTGCTCACCTCAGCCACCTTTTTGATTATTTTGGTTCCAATTCCTTGACCTGCAGTGGGAAAGGGGGATTATTATTTGAGTTGAGGCCAGCCTAAATTGCAGACCCAGGAAAAACTCCCACTCCCTCTGGAAGGAACCAAAGGCTGATATTAGGGGGCAGGAAAAGGGCTGGGTCTGAGGATTTCCCAGTGGGTCTGTGGGTACTCTGCGTCCACCCTTAGCCTCTGCCCCGCTATTAGTGCTATTAGTACCCCGATATTGCGGCATCACATAGATGTCTTCCAGATAAATGTTTCGTCCCTTCCATGTGCTGTAGATGAAGTAGTACAGCCCTAAGCCCACCACACGGGGCCCTGAAAATGAGAGAGAAGGGTAAGGCCTCTGGGAGGAAAAACTGAGGCTGCCTGGAGGGTCCTTTACCTTGGAGCTCCCCAGGTGCTGGAATAACCTCTGCCACCAAACAGTGAAAGGAAGGGTTCTCTCCAAAGCCATCTGCTCTCAGAGCTGTAGAGATTGGGGTGAGATTGGGGCGCGGGGGAGGGGGACGACAAAGAGACACTGGATTAAGGACAGTCCAGTAGCTACTCTAGGAATCCATCTTCAACCCGTCTCAGGACCCAGGTAAAAGCCCCACCTTCTTCACTGATCTTCACCTGATGGGACAGTTTCTCGTACTCGGCCAGTTCCTACAACGCAAGAGCAAGACATTAGGGTAGGAAGGCCCTGCCACTTTGAGAGCAGGGTCCAAAGGTACCCATGTGTAACTCTGCCCCTCCGACTACGCAGCTCCCAGCACCACGGCACTCCATTTTCCAGCCCGCAGTCTTCTTTACCCGTATCATCCTCAGAATGTCTCCACAATCTCTCTCCGTGGCCTCTCGGATCCGCGTGGAAGCCATTCGATTCTCACTGTCAAAATCAAAGATCAACGACGATCTCCACTTCGCCTCTGCAGGACCACAGACAGGGTCTACAGCTCAGGTCTCTAAAACAGCTGGAAGTGAAGGGGCAGAAGAAATACTAGGAGCTCCCAGATAGGGTTCGGACACCAGCGGGTCTCAGCGAGGAGCTTGGACCAGCCTGGTGGTCTTTTCTGCTAAGAAAGGCCTTAAAGTCTGCACCCCGCCCTCCAGCCAATCAGCTTCTGGTTAAGACCATTTCCCCACCCCCGGCCCCGCCTCGCCCCGCGGGTCCCGTGACAAGGCTAGGAGCAGGGGTTAAAGCTTGCTGTTTGAGAACCAGACTCTCATGCGCTGCTTTAATTAAAGTATGCGCCAGTTAAACGCTTTAGTTTTCACTCTTAGTCGTTTAGTCACTGCGGTATCCCAGACCCCGAGTAAGCGCAAGACTCTCAGCCGTTTTGATGTAGCTGTCTTTGATAGTGGAAGCCTTGTGCTCTGCCCCTTACAGCTTTCCCTCCCTCCTTGCCTCCCTCCCTCCCTCCCCCTCCCCCTTTCTTTGGTTCTGGGCATTAAATCCAGTGCCTTTGGACATGCTGAAGAGACCCTACCATTGCTTCCTGTGGCTGTTGGGTGGCCCAAAGTGTTTTTAAATTTTCCACATTAGGTCCCAGAATAAACCCCTGTAATTAAGAGTAATAGCAAGTTCCTTCATTGTTCTCCTTTATTTCTGATAGGGTCGTTAGGGAGTGGGAGTTTTGGCTGGGGCTGCAGACCAGGCTGGCCTCAAATTCACTGTGTAGCCAAGAGTGACCTAGAACTCCTGATTTTCCTGTCTCTACCTCACAGGGATCACATGTGTCACTCTGATTTAGCCTCAAACCGTTGATGCTTTGGGCTCAATATACCTTGCTCCCCAGTGGAACCGGAACTACAGTCGTGGGCCACCACGTCCACCCCTTTGTTTTATTTTGAGACAGAGTCTCACTCTGGCGCTCAGGCTGGCCTGAGACTCATCGTGTAGCCCAGACTCACCTCAAACTCAAAGCAGTCCTCTTGCCTCACCCTCCCAAGTGTTTGGATCCTAGGTGTGAGTCGCCACACGCAGCTTAGCCTTGAGCTTTTTATTTTATTTTTGGAGAACATGCTGTATGTGCACATGCTCACACATAGGCGCACGTCTCCTACGGAGCAAGAAGTGGATGTTTTGTCCTGTTCAGTTGCTCTCGGACTTAATTTTGAGACAGAGTCCTTTCAGTGGACCTAGAGCTCATCAACTCTGCTAGACTAACTGGCTAGTGAGCTCCATGAATCCACCTGTTTGCAACCCTGCCATCCCATCTTCGCCAGCGCTGGGCTCACAGGTGTTATGTGAGGGGTGGGCAATCTAAACGCATGCCTTCACGTTTGTTCAGCGAGCACTTTACTTCTTGGATCCTTTCCTCAGCCCAGTGTTAAACTCTACATCTCAAGCCGGGCGTTGGTGGCACACGCCTTTAATCCCAGCACTCTGGAGGCAGAGGCAGGCGGATCTCTGTGAGTTCGAGGCCAGCCTGGTCTACAGAGCGAGTTCCAGGATAGCCTCCAAAACAATATAGAGAAACCTGTCCGGAAAAACCAAAAAACAAAACAAAACCAAACAAAAAAACCCACTGCATCTCACCCACAGTTTACATTATATTTCCCTCCCTGCATCTGTTTTTGTTTTTTTGTTTGTTTGGTTTGTGTATTTACGTGTGTGTGAGTATTTTGCCTGCATGTATATATATCTACACCACATTTGTTTCTGGTGCCCTCACAAGTTAGAGGAAGATGTTGGGTCCCCTTGAACTGAAGTTACAGATGGTTATGAGCTGCCATGTGGGTGCTGGGACTCAAACCCAGGTCCTCTGTAAGAGCAGCCAGTGCTCTTAATTACTGAGTCACCTCTCTAAGTGCCTTTTAAATTTTTTATTTATTTATTGGTTTTTGAGACTCTGTGTAGCTTTGAAACCTGTCCTGGAACTTACTCTGTTGACCAGGCTGAACTCACAAAGAGCCATCTGCCTCTGCCTCCCCAGTTCTGGGATTAAAACCACATGCCTGACAGTTTAAAATTTACTTTACTTATTTTTTATTCTATATGCATTGGTGTTTTGCTTGCATGTATGTCTCTGTGAGGGTGTTAGATCCCTGGAAGTGGAGACGGCTGTGAGCTGCCTTGTGAGTGCTGAGAAGTCAACACGGGTCCTCTGGAAGAGCTGCCAGTGCTCTTGACCACTGAGCTGTCTTTCTAGACCCATTTTTTTCTGGGATGGAGGGATGGTTCAATAGTTAAGAGAGAATTACTGCTCTTCCAGAGGACCTGATTGGGTGTTGGGTTCTTTTTATAACTTTCTTTTTCTTTTTCCCAAGGCAGGCTCTCACTATGTAGCTCTGGTTATCCTAGAACTTGTAGACCAGGCTGGCCTCAAACTCATAGAGATTAGCCTGTCTCTGACTCTCAAGTGCTGGGATTAAAGGCAGGTATGTGCCACTATGCTCTGCTTAACTTTCTTTTTAATATATAGTTGTTAAAATTTAAATTTCATTTTATGTGTATGGGTATTTGCCTGCATGTGTATCTGAGAATCACTTACATGACCTACAGAGGCCAAAAGAGTGTGTTGAATCCCTTGGATCTAGAGTTACAGCTGTTGTGAGTGGCCATATGGGTGATGAGAATTGAAGCCGGGTCCTCTGGAAGAGCAGCCAATGCTACCAACCACTCAGACATCTCTCTAGTGAGGCCTCCACCCTGTTTTTATTTATTTACTTTTTTGTTTTTGTTTTTTTTTGTTTTTTGTTTTTTGTTTTTTTTTTTGTTTTTTGTTTTTTGAGACTGGATTTCTCTGTGTAGCTTTGGAGGCTGTCCTGGAACTTGATCAGTAGACCAGGCTGGCTTCAAACTCACAGAGATCTGCTTGTCTCTGTCTCCCAAGTGCTAGGATTAAAGGAGTGCATCATCACCACCAGGCTCCTTTTCTTTCTTTCTTTCCTTTTTCTTTCTTTCTTTTTTTTTTTTTTAAGATTTATTTATTACATATACAGTGTTCTGTCAACAGGCCAGAAGAGGGCACCAGATTGAATTACAGATGGTTGTGAGCCACCATGTGGTTGCTGGGAATTGAATTCAGGACCTCTGGAAGAGCAGCCAGTGCTCTTAACCTCTGAGCCATCTCTCTAGCCCCCTCTTTTTTTTTTTTTTTTAAGACAGGCCTATGTAGAGCCGGGCGTTGGTGGCACACGCCTTTAATCCCAGCACTTGGGAGGCAGAGGCAGGCGGATCTCTGTGAGTTCGAGGCCAGCCTGGTCTACCGAGCAAGTTCCAGGACAGGCTCCAAGACAATACAGGGAAACCCTGTCTCGAAAAACCAAAAAAAAATAAAATAAAAAAGACAGGCCTATATAGCCTTGGTTGGTCTAGACTTGCAATGTAGACCAGGTTGACTTCAAACTCAACAGAGGTTCAGCTATGCCCAGCTGGAAATATTTATTGCTTTTTCCTCCTTCTTCCGTAGTTTAAACAGTTGTTTAGTGTGTATATGTGTGTGCGTGTGTGTAACTTATGCCTGTGCACACATGAGTATATGTGTGTGTGGAGACCAGAAGACAACTTTCAGGAGTCAGTTTTCTCCTTCCATCCTGTGGATCCTGTGGCATAAACTCAAGCCCAGGCTTGGCAGCAGGTGCTCTTACCCACTATGCCATGTACATTCCCACCGCTGTTTAGAATAGTCTTTCTGAGTCAGGCAGTGGTGGCACACCCTTTTAATCCCAGCCCTCAGAAGGGAAGGCAGAGGCAGGTGGATCTCTGAGTTTGAGGCCAACGTGGTCTACAAAGCGAGTTCCAGGACAGCCAGGAATGTTGCACAAAGAAACCCTCTCTCAAAAACAAAACAAAAAACAAAATACAGAATAGTCTTTCTGTAGTCCAGACTAGCTTTGAACTCAAGTGCTTGGGTTATAGTCAGGTTTCTTCTTAGTATCCATTAAAACACACAGAGACAATACCTTCTTGTAAGAGCAGCATCATAGGTCTGGGAAAGCTTAGGGAGGCATTCACATCAGACACTAGGCATTCTGCCTTTGTTATTTCAGTCTCCAGTCGCAGCAGTTCCACAGAAGGATTGTGTTCCTCCTTTGACAGATAAAGTCCCTGAAGCACAAAGGTGAAGTGTGTCTCCCAAGGTCAGTCAGCAAGATATCTGGATTCCACGCCTCAGCTTTAAGCCTGGTAAAGGATGTAGTTAAGCAGGGAGGACTGTTTCCAGATCTCACGTTGGCCTAGGCAGCCTTCCCTTGTGGGAAGAATGCCTAGAGGAGCCACACTGGACAACAGAGGAGGATAAGAGATGAGATGTGTTCTCACAGATTTCTTGGCTGCAGGGAGGGACTCTGTCCCTCACCTCATTTGCCTTCAGAGGGGCCGCACGGTCAGTGTCCCTACCTCCTGCTCCCCCTCCTTCCCCCCGGAGCAACCTTTAACCCTCCACCACCCATGCAGGGCTACCTACACCCACTTGTTCTCCTCAGATTGTCTGAGCCACACGGTGGACAGCTGCTAACTATGGAGAACAGAGACTCTGTGACCTCCTTGCTACTTCTGCTATTGCTGCTGCTGCTGCCGCCACCTCACACCCACCAGGAACAGGCCCTGAGACACATTGTCCCTACCCAGGTGCAGAACGAGATAGGGCTCTCAGCCCCTGTGTGGTTAAATGAGCTGTATTTTGGCTCTGTCTTCTCCCTTCTCTTCTCCTCTGACCCCTGTAGCTGTGCCTTTCTTACTGTCTCTGAAACATCTTTAGTCAGCTTGGTTTTTTTCTTTCTTTTTTAAGATTTATTTATTTAATGTGCATTGGTGTTTTGCTTGCATGCATGTCTGTGTGAGGGTGTCAGATTGCGTGGAGCTGGAGTTACTGACAGTTGTGAGCTGCTGTGTGGGTGCTGGGAATTGAACCTGGGTCATTCAGAAGAGCAGCCAGTGCTCTTAGCCACTGAGACAACTCTCCAGCCCCCAGCTTATTTTCTTTTTCTGACAGAGTGCTCAGGACTCTCCAGCTAGGTACCTCAGCAATGGCCCAGGACAAGAGCCTGTCGCTGTTATAACCATTGACCGCACCAAAATCAGCAAGTATGGGAGCTACTTGTCTCTTTTTTCTTCTTTTTTAAATTTATTTTCATGTGCATTGATGCTTGTCCTGCATGCAG